AAATGGTGTTTTAGTGATTCCTAAAGTCCTTTTAAATGTAATTACATGAACAATAATACTTTAAGAGATAATTTTTTAATATTTTTTTTCCATAAAACATGGTTATATTTTATCATTTGGGAAGGGAGGGAAAGGGGGCTTCAGCTCCAAAGCCTCCTCCGTAGATCCGCCCGTGGGGATTAGTGTGATTAGCATTCACGCTCAATCGAGTTTTCCACCACTCAATCAGGCTTGTCCACTTTATGTCTATTTTATCTACGAATTTTTTTGGGCAAATGTAAAGATAATTACCTAAGCTTCAATTTGGATTTATACGACTTTCCAAAGACGACCAAAACCCGGCAAGATGAAAATTTTTTTTCTTTGATTTATTTATTGTCAATATTTCCAAGATATCTCATATCTTTAAAAAAGAAAAATATACATAAAATATGAAGACGGTGTCTAAGTTATAAATTTGTAGCAAAGAATATTTTAATATGCGTCAAAAATAAAGATTCTGAATAAAAAAAACACTATTGTTTTTGTTATTGTGTAGGAATAATATTTAACATTTAATTAGGAAAAAATTGTAATCCAACTTTATTTTGAAAGGGTGTTGCACTTAAAGTTATTTATAGTTATTTGGAAATTAAAAAAAAAAAAAGGATATTAAAACATTTTCATTAAATTTGTATGTACTAAGATCTATAAAAATGAGTCTCCTTCGAATGGGATAAGAGTTTATTATTTTCTTAAGAAACTAACTATCTCTTGGCTCAATCTATTGATAGTTATATTTTAATTTGGATGAGATGTAAAATAAAATATACTTATTATAAAGCTTCCAGATTTTCAATAAAATTTAGTTAACTTTGACTCGAATTTACTCAAAACATGTTTCTCTTCTGCAAAGTGCAGTAAATAACTTTTCATCCACGCCATCGATAATTAATTCAGACCCGAGGGGTCAAAGGCGAAAGGCTGTGGTAGCCGAAGCTATTCATCGAGAAGGCACTCTTACGGGTCTATTTGCATTGGCTAATGTCATCCTATAGATGGCAGCACAACCCGCCTCATTACCCGGCCCAATCGTCATTATTATTTTCGTTGTAAATCAGGGACGCTCAGTGTCGGGCGTAAATCCAGCCGGGAGACAGCATTAAAGCTATTTCACTCACCCGTGTCGTTAAGGAGGACAGTAAGAGTCCAATAAATTTCTAACTGACAAGGGAGCCTTAACTGCCCCGTAGCAAGCGTGATATTAGTGCTGAATTAAATTCAAATAGCGCTCCGAAAAAGGGGATGGCTATCCTTCAGCTATGGCTCGGGGAACAGAATGCCTGTCTAACCGGAGATAAAGCACTCCTTTCTTGCTCGGTTAAAGACCCATTCCAAGCACTTGGACATGAACATGTTCGCTCAGTCTACTGAGAACACATTTTTAAACGTTAAAAAAATAAAAACGACAATTTCGAAAATAGATAACAATACAAGGTTTGCCGTAAACCAAAATATCCACTAATCCCAGCTTACACACAACCGTACACCAACTACCGCAAAAACCCAAGCCCACAAGATTAACACAAACCTATCACCTACATTTCCGCTAATTATCGGAAGTTTTGAGCCCGTGTCGGTGCTAATTATTTTTTAGGAATTCGTTAATTGCCAACCCTGGGAACTTAAACGTCGGTATTACACACCCATCTCAATCGTCGCGATGCTATTGCTTCAATTATATTAACTGAATGCTAATACCGCATTTCCGTGCCATGCATTTTCCTACATTCTTCTCTGGATCCATCTTTCAAAGCACAGGCGGATCCACGGGGAGGGGAGATAGGGAGGGCTTTCAGGCTGAACCTCCCCCAAAAATGGTGAAATATTACCATATCTTTTAATAAAAAAAATACATATATTAAAAAATTATCTCTAAAACTATTGTGGGCGGTGAGCCGAGCGGGCTAACGCGTGTGCACAGCACCGCCGTTGCCCAGCAACCTGATATGACAAATTGATAAAAAAACAGTCATGAGTTCGCGTCCCGGTGTCGGAGGTCTTTTAAATTCCCGCTCTCACCCCTGACCCGGGAAAACTCCGTACAGCCTTAAATGCGAAGAAGGGAAGGACCAAAAAAGAATCACTAAAAGTATTATTGTTAATGTAATTTAATAGAACTCCATTTAATTTAATAAGACTCCAAGAATAAACACCATTTCATAAAGATAGTTAGTTTCATTTATTTTTCTTACAAAGTAATTATCATTATATTTAAAAAAAAAATCTATCTATTTCTACTACCAACCATGTTTTTCTTTTTACTCGTAGATCAAATCAACAGCTTATAAAAATTGAAAACATTTCAATCCAATTTGAGGAACTAATAACCAAATATTACAATGTATTGCACCTAATTAATTATTCGTCAAGTTTTAATATTTCTTCATGTACAGACAATTAAATTTACTTCCAGAGCAATTAATGATATTTTCACTCTTAGACATCACTAACTTTAATGACATTGGTGAAAAAAATATATATAAAATTATCCTTCTGCCATGTCCCTTATTTTAAAGTAGCACGGTTCTCCAAATCTATAAAAAAAATTTCGATAAAACTAAAAAATAAGCATCTGAAACTCAAGTAAGCAGTATTAGTTCAGGAGTAGAGAAAACGCAGATAGTTTTAGAAGAAAAACATTTGTCATGTAGAGCGAGTATACTAGTAGTACTAGCGAGTAACTTCCTCACCATTTCTATTGAACACATAATTATCTATATTTCTAAGTTTAGGATTTCTTGTTTGAGAACAAAATCTAATAGAGAAGTCATTTCTAAAGAATAGTCATGCCAAGAAATTTGATAAAATAGGTATTATATATCAAAGTTTAGTATTTCTTGTTTGAGAACAAAATCTGATGGAGAAGACATTTTTAAAGAATAGTCATGCCATGAAATGTGATAAAATCGGTATAAACTCTCACGATTCCTTAACATTTCATAAAATAAAATCAACGCAAGTAGCTTTTATGCCTGTTCCATGAATTCCATGATAGAAAAGGTACAGTTCAAAACTTATATAACCTCCCTTCCCATATGTTCACTGCCTACCATACTTCACAGCCATCATTTGATTGCTTTATTTTATTTTAGGTATATTAATTTCAATTTTTTAATGAGTTTTTGATTTGATAAAAATTGTTATTAGGCTATTAGTTAGCTATTTGTCAAATTTCTTCCAACTTTGGACCAAATTGAACAAACGAACAAGCCGGTTTTAAGTATCAATGAAATTCCATTTGCACGCCCTTAAGAAAAAGTATTTTCTGAAAGTTGCAGATCGAATTTGATAAAAAAGATACCTACTTGATCATTTTTTTAAGAAACTCCAACTACCTTCAAACTTTGGGCCAAATCAAACGTGCAGCTATATAGACGGCTATGAGATGTATATTTTGATTTCATTTACCCCTCCCTCGCAATTTATAGCATACGGGAGAAAAGAAGGAAATAGATGAACAGATGTATAGTCGTGTCAAGATTTGCACATATAAAAGGGGAAGCGGTGCATGGACTAAACTTTAATAAATCTAATTGTTAGTGTACCATTTTTTCACTAATCTCTAGCTTGACTCAAAATTTGAGCTAAACAAACGGGCTATTTTTGAAACATATAGAAAATACATTTACGCGAGTGCAAGCGAAAGTAGGAGAAGGAATTTTATAAAATTGATATGAGACCATATAGGTTTCCAGCCTCCATAATTTCTGAATGGATTTGATGACAGACATGTAACCGAATTTCTTCTTTGAAGTAGTAAAACGAGAGTTAAAATTTTCGATTCTGAGAGCAAAAGGTCGTTTCACACCAACGAAGGTTTTACTCAGCTTCCTTATCTTCTATAATGAGGAGGCAGGATAATTTTGTCATGGAGTTGTAATGGATTCCAGTGATATAACAAGAAAATAATCGTAAATCAACATCAATCTCAAACGCGACTTTTGTGATGAAGATGGTTGTAAAATTATAAAACAATAAATGAATTATTTATTTTTAATTTTTTTTTTTTTTCATAATACTACGAACTCTCAGTTCCACTTTCTTCGTTTCAGATTTAACGTGGAACAATTTTTTAATCAGAAGCCATGTTTGATGCATAAAAAGCGGTTTTCTCATTTTAGGCACTAATGTGTTTGCTTTATTAAGAAATATGATCGGAATACACAAAATCGTTTTTAAACATTCAGCTAAATCAAAAATGTTCTTATGTTAATGACTTTTTTTACGATAAGCCGACGATATGTTTTTATTTATATTTCCACTATTTTCAGGGAAATACATATATAAATCAGTGCAGATAACAAGTGATAAAAACAACTATTCATATAAATTTTTATTTTAATTATAAAAGTATAGGAATGCACTTACAAGGAAAAAAGGTTTTTTTACTTTGATAAAAAACAACAACAACAAACAAAATGTTTGAGTCATTCATATTGTTGTTAACTGTTATTACTCCGATAAAAATAAACCAAAATATAGCAGTGGAATGTAGGTATGCGAATGAAAATGACAAAACATAGTAACTCATAGGATGGCAAGCTGTAAAGTGTGAAAATTATTCTTTCCCACATAACAAGCACATTTGAGAAGAGCCTGATGAGACTATAACAAGTGGTAATGTAACAGCCCTTCCTTGGTCAGAGAAAAAGGAATGAAACAACTGTTCCTGATGAAGCGGTGCACTCTTGAGGAAGGCTGACCAATTATCCAGTGCTAACCACAGAGGAAAAGGCAGTAACGATCGAGGACCTCATATTGCCGAGCAATCAACGCTCATCATAATTAATTTGATTGAGGTTGCCCCTAACCAACGACATCAAACAGCTCCCTCTACCAAATGAGGACACTACCACCCTCCAAGTGCTGACCTTATTTTCGATGATTAACATCCTCATTTTAGAATAAATTGTTCATGTATGAAGGTGTCAAGCAAACTTCTCCAGAAGCGGTCTATGCTAATGAGGGAAATTAACTGGATCCCTAGGTGGCATACAGCCGAGTAATGGTGAAAGGCTTCTTAGGCGTAATGCTGTGTATAGCAAATGCCGTTTATACCTCCTGATGCTGCCCTGCCCCGTACCCTAATAGGGTACTTAAAGTTACATTTACCTAGGACTAATAGGACTAAAAATTATACTCCATAAAGTTAGAGATATGAAGAGAGTTTCGTATATTACATTACATTTTTTGCATTTGTATGTTATGATTACCATCATAAAGGTGAAAGAACATCAAGTGAATTATTAAAAAAAATCACAATGTTAAAAGGTTTGAGATTTTCTACAATTTAAAATCCAATTAAAAAGAAATGATAATTTACAATAAAGAGTATAATATGAATGCAAATTAAGAATGAAATGCTCATTACGAAAACTCACTCAAAATCCTTTAAAAATACTATAACTTATTATAGACTGACAATTTTATCATTATATTTCATGGATTAATATATTTAAGGTCGATATATAAATATACTAATAATAAAAAGCGTTATAAATTTATAGATATTTGGAAAATATATCAGGCATTATGAATTATGATCTTATCCAAAAAAAGAAAAAGAAAATATGAGACAAAATATAATAAAAATTAGTTATGTAGAAACAGTATATAATTTATTGAAAAAGTAGTTTAAAAAAATGACTAACTTTAATGGAACAATGAACAATGAACAAATGCAAAAAATGTAATGAGCATAAGATTAATAGGCAAAATTGATAAGGGAAAATTAATTTATTAATGCAGTTCATAAACAATATTTTACCAAGTAAATTACTTAGAGTTCTTACCAGCTATATTAAGCCATTTGCCTCTAATATGTTGTCAGTCTCAATGTAAAACAACCTACAGTTCAATACCAATTTTTTAATATTAAAAGAAAAGTTTTCAAAAAATACCAGACAGCACTAAAAAAATCATATTATTGAGTGAGCAAAATTATAAATTATTGTTGAGTGTAAAATTTAGGAAGTAAAATAACCAAAAATGTTTTGTACGTAAACAGTTTCACAATGAGATCAATGATATGTTTATCCTATATCATATTTCATAGTAGTATATAATGTACTATTAACTGACCTGTATTGGCCTATGATGAGGTGGTGGATAAGCAGGGCCATGTATCATTTCCTCTAAGAGGTCTAGCTCCTCTGTCAGCCGCGATGGGGAGCCAGAGCTCTCGCTTACGCTAGCTTCACTTTCTTCACGTTCTATCCCTTCACCCTCCAGGAACTAAAAAAAATTTAAATCAAAATTAAAACAAAACAAGGAAAATTGAAGAGTTGTTAAACTATGCAATAAATAAATCCTATAAGTGTTAGTATAGTTCGGGTAGCAGAGAATTTCAAATTTAAAGCGTATGACCATGCAATTATGATGTCATCGAATTTCATATTTTCATACCAACAACTATTGTACAAACAAAAACCAAGTTAGTGGGAATGTTAGCAGCAAGAAAGGATTTGTTTAATCTCTCTCAAAAAGTAAAGAAAATACTTCATAATACAATGCTAATTAAATTTTTCCCTCTTCTTCATGGTTTTACATCTATTGTTAGGACTGTGCTGGCTGAGCAACTGATTTCAGATTTGGATTTCTCAATAATCAGGAAATACCAAAACTCTCTTATTAATCTATATAGACTAGCTATACACTATTTGTAGAGTAATACGTCTAATAACAGGTGGAGTTAATAATGAGAGGAAGAGAGGGGCTTTCGGGTTGAAGTCCCCTAAAATGGTAAAATAAAGCCATTATTGTTCGTGTAATTGCATTTAATAGAACTTCAAGAATTACATAAACACCATTTCATATAGGTAGTTTGTATCTTTCTTGTTCTTCTAAAGTAATTATCGTTTTATATATAAAACTTTCAGGCTGAAGCCTTCCCTCTAAAAAAAATAAACTCTTCGATTCGCTAGTGCATCTAATCAACCAGATTTTTAATTTCCATGGCTTTGAACTAAGACTTTCCTTTACTGCTGATAAAGATATATAGTTCAACAGTAGAGTTATAGACATTAAGAGATATATTCATTTTCAATTTCACTGTTTCAGAGAGTTAGAACATAAAGGAATCTCTTCAATGTATGAAATTATCAGTCAGGCTGCAACTTTTTATAAATATAGTTTAACTTTTCAGCTAATATCAAACCCCTTGCACAAATTGATCCAACAACATTTAATTAAATGTATTATTAATTTAGTTCAATTGAAATAAAATGTTAGTATTTGGAAGTTATGATTAGAAGTTACTAGATAGTGATATAGAATTTTATTATATTACTTTTTTACTTAGACTGTATTTTCTATTATTTAATCATAACCAAGATCGGGTTGAACTAATTGTTGTAATAATTAATGCGTTAATATTAATTTTTATATTGACTACAATAATAAATGAACTAAATATTTTTAATGAATTTTTTTTAATATTAAATAATCAGTTTCAGAACAGAATAAATAAATAATATTTTTCCTTCTTTACAACACACTATGAATATTATCCAAGAAATATCTATATCTAAATCTTTAATATAATCACTTTACAAAGATTTTTTTGGGTTTTCTGAAAATAATTATTTGTAAAAAAAAAATTATTATTCAATATTTAAACTTTAATCATTGCACAAGGCTATTGTGACCTACTTAAGAACGTCTATGGTAATGCAGGAAGGCAATTTGAAGTGAACATTAAGAAAGGTGATGAAAATTCATAAATTTTAAAGCAGAATTTATGCATAACCCTAATATCCAAGTTTAAGATAAATAGCATAATTAAAAGGTTTTTAAAAAATGACTTCCATCGGATAAATTATGAAGACTTCTAAAAGAATGAGGTGTTCCGAGTAATGGGCCTTAAGATATTTCACAATTATAATAAATAGTCTGAGAGGGGTGGGGATGGAGGTGAAACCATGACTGAGTGCCGGTAGGCCCCATCAGTCAAGTGTCAACTCTCGGGTCAAACGGAACTATGACAAATCACCCAATGTACCGTAAAACATTCACCTAATATGTTGTTATCTAACTTGTTCCTGGATTTATAGTATTGTATAAGAGCCAGCAGCCATGATACAACATACGAGGCAAGCAAAAATAGCATAAAAAAGAACCTAATATGTGTTGTGCCTCTCACTGTACAATACAGAAGAACACTTAAAAGAAAAAAAAATATCAAATTGATTTTTTATTAAGATAACAGGATTCATACTAAATGAATTGGACTTCCTTTATTTAGTATTGTCTTGAATAACGATAGACTATTCAAAATCATTGAAACCTCTTAACCAAAATGAAGGTTATTTGTGTGTTATAATGATACCATGATACATTTTTATATTTTATTTATTTATTTATTATTATTTTATTTTAACTATAATTTTATTTTATATTTTTAAATAAATAAATAATAAAAATACAATAATTTTATTTTATTTTACACAAAACACTGTTTCAATTTACACTTGTTTCAGTATTAAGGAATTCGAGAAATTAGAAGAGAAAAAAATTACAGCTTTGATATTATTTATTAATTAAGATTTAAAAGAAAAAAATAATAATTCTTAGAAATGAAACGGTAAGATATATATATATATATATATATATATATATATATATATATATATATATATATATATATATATATATATATATATATATGTATATATATGTATATATATGTATATATATGTATATATATATATATATATATATATATATATATATATATATATATATATATGTATATATATGTATATATATGTATATATATATATATATATATACATATGCTATGAGTTTTCTCATTCTCTATCATGAACTATAAAAAATAAAAATCAATTAATGAATAAAAATTGGTAATGAATACCTTCAGAAAATTTTAGTTTTTCCAATTTAGGTTTTTTATTTAAAACATAATCAACAAGAAAAAAATACCGAAGCATGATATAAAGAAACACATTATAACAATAACTAATGAGCACTTAAAATACATAGAAAATGTTAGTTTGTGATAAAAAAAAATTCTGGTATAATTTTTTTCCTTCCTATGTTATTTAAATGCTACATCAATACACTACCTCATTAATACTCTGTATTAAGAGTAAGTATTTCTTTTAAATTAGAATATCAACTTATGCTAAAGTAAAAGATTATTTCAAAATATTTAATTACAAAAATAAATAAACCTCTACTATTACAACCCATGAAGGGTTCAGTACTATGTTGGAAAGTAATATTCCTTGGTCAACGGTTGTGCAAGGAGGTGATTTGACCAAATCACGTTCAACCGTAATGAATTTCTCCTTAAATAATTAGGAGTATCAACTTTATAGAGGCTGGGTGTGCCTCAGGAGGGTTTTCTGATCCCAAGGTTGATCCAAGTTCAATGACTCAGAATAAAAATTTACCCACCATCAGCCAGATTCGAACCCAGAACCCAGCCCAATCCATTGAGCTACCCCCCCTCCTTATTTAATTTTGAATTGTATTTAAATACAAAAATAAAATATAAATCACCTGGAGGTCATCATTGAGGCCTACAAGCTGAAGGGCCTCTTCAAGAGAAAATTCTGGCTCAGGAAGGAGAGAAGAAGGGGGTTCGTCTTCACCTAAATCGTCCCTTCTATCGGTTTCTTCTTTTACAATATACTCACCTGGAATGAAATGTATACATAATGAAAAATACTTTTTAAATTTTATATTTAAGACTAATTCAGAATTCTCTAATTAATTTTATTATTTAAAAAAATATGAAAATAATTTTCATGAATATACCAAATATTTCAACTTTGGTAATTTGGGCATTGAGCTATAAAATAAATCATATTTTACTGTGATTGAGGAATAACTAATGAGTTGGAATATACCAATATTAACAAAGCAAAAGTGAAAATAAAATTCAATATGTAGTTAAACAACAAGTAAAAGTGAATGCAAATCAATATTAAGACTGAGTGATATATATCAATATAAGTTTTTCCAGATAAAGTGATCATAAAATTTAGAAAAGCTTATCATCAAGCCAAAACAGCAACCACAATGTAACATATAATATAAAATAACTATGAGGAGTTGGTCAGGAGGTGCGGTTAAATAAATATTACATTAAAAAAAATAATAGTATTTTTAATTGTTACGCCGATGTTTCGATCCACCTTGCAGGTCTTCATCAGGTCGTGGCATGTGGCACTGATGGCTAAAATAACTAGTTCGCCATATAGTTATAGTTATGGTAAATGATAATATAGTACGCAAATAGGGTTTTTGAGAGGATTGTGGTGATCAACTGTATTAATGCTTCACTTTAGCAGCCTTGTGAAAGAAGCTGTTTTTTTTTTGTTTTTTTGGGTTGTCCCCTTCCTTGCCATTAAGGCTATATGGGGTTTTCCCGGGCCAGAGGGTGTGGGCAGTGATATAAAAGACCCCCGGGCACCGGGACGCGAACTCGTGACTATTTTTATAACATTTGAGTCATATATCAGGTTGCCGAACAATAGTGGTGCTGTGCACACGCGTTAGCCCATTCGGCCAGCACGCCCACGAAAGAAGCTGTGTTGGTTCGATTTCAACGTAGGAGGATTGAAATTTATTTAGTGGCGGACTGAAATTTATTTAGTAATGGACTCAACACCAAACTTCTCCCTTTGACAAGAATAAATCATTTACCTGCAGGATAGCCATCCCATATGCTAGAAATGGTTAAATCAGGAGAAAGAGAAAAAATTAATACAAGGTGTGAATAATAAAAATGAGAATATTCTGCAACATGTTATATGTCGCATTGCTTATAATAGAAATTACAGTAGTATTCATATGTTTCTAAACTGAATATAAAGCAATTTGCAGGAGTTTTAATAACATTTTGTTTACATATTTTAAAATAGTAAGTTTTGAGGTGAATAAGTCCACTTTGGAGGTAAGTGTTTTTTTCATTATTTTCATTACAAAACAAAACAGGAGAACAAACCCAAGTTGCACAGATCTTTGAGATAAATGGTAATAGAAATTTAAATAACTAAACAAATACGATGCCAGGATTAAAAAAAAAATTCACCACAAAATTAAAGTCTTTAATTATATCTGAAATGATTATTAGTAACTAATTTGCAGTTAAACTTGAAAGCCATCTGTAGTATAAAATCAAAATGAATAGCCTTGACTGGCATTTTTTCCACTAAAATAATAGACCAAATATGAAAAATTTGGAGAAAAAATATTATACTCGAGAATGTGAAATTTCTTCATATGTTGATTTTTTTTTTCTATGAGTTTCTTTTGTTTCATTAAACTCACATCAATATGTACTGTAGCAAAGAAATCTGGGTAAGCGAATGGGCTCAATTTTTTTTAACTAAAAATATGCCATGGCTGTATTAAGATGGGGTGTATTTAGATTAGTACAATAAAACACCAAAATCGATATTAATCTAAAAAATCAGACATTTTAATGTCTGAACTCAACATTATTTTCTTACATATGTTCTTTGGGTTTGCTATACTGAGAATAGGATTCAGAAAATGCATTTGTTTTAATTATAAATTTTCATCAATCACTAAGGGAATAATCAAGAAAAACTTATATGTTTATTCATTTGAGAAGCTTTAATTTTTAGTATATATAAATAATATTGAGAAATATATTATCCCTATATATTTATTTTTATCATTCACATTTATATAGACATATCGAGAATCTGAGCTCATCTCCAGGGTCATACTTTGTTGTGCAATGATGTTAGATGATAAGACCCCCAAATGTGAAACCAAAAATAAATATTTAAGAAAGATGTAATAAACTTATAATTTTCTTAAATAATCATTATAGAAAAATACCATAATTCACTCATTTGTAGTAATCATTCAAGACTTAATGATGTCACAGTCAATCATTGAAATTAAAAGGACTATAAAAATAACACTAAATCATTTAAAATGGATTATGTTGTATATCAGAAATATCGAGCCTACTGATTTGAGAAGATAAGAAAAAACTATTACAATTTCTAAAATTGATTTCACGCCAAAAATTTACAATCTCATTTCAACAGAACCAAACCGAAACCAAAATAAGATATGTTTGTTATTTACTTAATGGCACTACAGCCCTAGTTAGACTTTGGCCTCACTTAAAATTGATAGCCATCCCTACCTATGTTCTGCCTTTCTTTCCCATCCTCTTACTCCTATCCATCTCAAATCGTCCTCTACGTCATCCAACCACCCCAGCCTTGTTCTTCCTGCTGGTCTTCTTCCGCCTGGCCTGCCAGCCATTCATTATCTTTTTTGGTAGCCTCTAATCCGGCATCCTTTGCACATGGCCCATCCATCACAACCTTCCTTCTTTGATGAATGCCACAATATTAGACTCACCAAAAAGCTGTTCAAGCTCTCTGTTTTTCCTAATTTTACTATGGCCTTCGTTGTTTACTGGGCCAAATACTTTATGGAGGATCTTTCTCTCCAAAAGCTTCAGGATCTTCTCACTTTCCTTGGTCATCACCCAACACTCACTTCCATATGTCACCACCGGTCTTAATATTGTCATGTATATAGTTACTTTTGTCTTTCGAGACAATATTTGAAATTTAAGCAGTTATTAAGAGCAAAAAGGCATCTGCTACCAGCTGCTATTCCGCCTTTGATCTCTGCTTTTGTATCATTTTCTTCTGTTACTAGAGATTCTAGATATTTGAAGATCTTGCAACACTTGAATTTGTGCCCATTAATTTGCAGTTCTTCTTCCTGACCTAATTGATTTCCAGACGTCCTCATATGCTCTGTTTTAGCTTCATTTATTTTCAAGCCTCTGCTTGCTGCAGTTGCTTCAAACTCTTCCAGCGCTCCTGATAGTGTGCGCGCTATGATGGCTACATCATCTGCATAGGCCATGTGATGGGTAAGCCTGCTATAGATATTTCCTCCCGGGTTGGTTCTAATTGCTCTTATTGCCTTTTCGAGAGCCAGATTAAATACTATGGGCAACAGTGGGTCTCCTTGTCTCAGCCCCTCTGCCACATTGAACTCTTCCGATAGGGCTCCACATACTCTTACCTGAGACTTTGTTTCCTTCCACGCCATTTGAATCAACCTCACCAGCTTTGGGGAAACTCCTAGGGACTTGAAATTTCTTGCTACCCTTTCCCTGTCTACAGAGTCGTATGCCTGTTTGAAATCTATAAAAAGGTGGTGCAGGCTAACATTATGCTCATTACTCTTTTCTAATAGCTGTCTTAATGTGAAGATTAAGTCAGTTGTGGATTTTCATTGTCTAAAACCAAACTGGTAATCGGCAATAACCCTCTCAGACCATCTTACCAGCCTCCGGTTAATTGCAATGGTGATAATCTTGTACACAGACAACAGAAGCGCTATTCCACGATAGTTGTCCCATACCATCCTGTCACCTTTCTTATAAACTGGGCAAAGTATGGTTTTGCTCCAGTCTCTTAGCATATTTTCCTTAGTCCATATATCCCATATCAATTGATATATTTGGCTTATATAAGATATGGTTTTCTTAGGGGAAATTCAATGTAAAATTAAGAAGTAAATGAAATGTTCTATAAACAAAAGTCTAAAACATCAGATTAGATTTTAAGTTAATATATTATTTGAAAATTTAAGGATATTCACAGTGATTTCAATAATTAAAAAAAAAGCTATCGTAAATGATTGTTACTTGTTTATATTTTTCAATAATTCCATTTTACAATTTTTAAAAATTCTTATCGACAATTATTACCAAAGTATTGAAGACAAGTTGGTTGGGGTATTCAGTCAAATAAAGAACAGATTAAAAATAAATATAATTGATTTAATTTAATTCAATTTCATAGATAGATAGATTTTTAACTTCTTTTCAATATATCTACGACAATCAACTATCAATCTACTATTATAGCCAAAGTAATATATATGCACAAGATATATAAGATTATCAATTGAAAGGATAAGGGAAGCATTAAATGACTATTATTTAAATCATAAAATAAAATAGAATTGTCATTCAATAATGATATTTTAAATTTTATTAAAACTTTTATTTTATTAAAATATTTTGGTAACCGCTTGAGAATTTATGTAGGTTTTGCACTTTTTAAAAAATTAAAGCATAATATTTATCCATGTACTAGCATGTGTGTCATTTTCAAGCCCAAAATCAATTTTTAACAACTACTGATTATACCACAGATTTGATTAATTTTAACAAAACCATTTATGAAAATCAATAGTAGATTGAATAGTCACTAACATTCCAGTCATCAGCCTTTTATATAAAAATTAAATTAAGAAATTTTTTTTTGTATTGAATTATGATTTATAAACTATAAAAAGTGATTATATATTGCTACTTTTAGTGCAAAAGGTCCTACGCAAATATCTAGTTTTTTACAGAAGAGCTGGTTCCCTCTGCTATTTTCCTATTTCGTAGACTACTTATAACAGTTGCAGACTACAAAATGTCACTTTTAGCGCAAATAAAATAAACATGTAAAATTGTTACATATGACCTTATGCACTAACAGTAGTGATATTCAGTACTATTGGAACTGTATCTCTTATAGATAGTCATTTGTTTCTTATTCACATATAATAATATTTATATAAGTGCCAATAACCAAATGTCTTTAACAAATTTTAATACATTTATTGT